ATAGACTATTTCTTACTTGATAATAGACTGCTGCCTAAGGTTAAGTCCTGCTCGTATAATAGTATTGTCATATCGGATCACAGTGCCATTCTATTTGATTTAGACCTCCCAAACAGAATTTGGAGACCCAACCCTCTCTTACTTACAGATGACAATTTTGTGAAGTTCATTTCAGCCCAAATACAATTCTTTCTAGAGACTAACTCCTCCCCAGAGATCTCACAAGCTACATTATGGGAAACTCTTAAAGCATACCTCCGCGGGCAAATCATAGCCTATTCCTCCACCATCAAGAAACAGAAAAACTCCAAACTGACCGAAATTTCCCAACAGATCCTGGATGTGGACTCTAAATATGCTCATTGGACGACTACAGATCTTTATAAGGAACGGTTAAGACTCCAAACTGAATTTAATCTTCTATCTACTGATGAGGCAACACGTCTAATCTTAAAATCCAGACATAATGTGTATGAATTTGGAGATAAATCTAGTAGACTACTGGCTTTGCAAGCCCGCCAAGTGGCTACCACCCATAATATCACAAAGATTCAATCAAACACAGGAGAAACGTTGATGGATCATAATGACATAAATAAAACCTTTTTACAATTCTATTCTAACCTTTACACCTCAGAACTTAGCAATGACCTCAGCCCCTCATGTGCCTTCTTTGATAATTTGACTATCCCTACCGTATCAGAGGAACAAAACACCAATTTAGTTGGAGATATCTCACTTGCTGAAATCATCATGGCCATACAATCCATGCAGAACAACAAGTCACCAGGCCCGGACGGGTTTACGACGGAATTTTATAAAAAGTTCTCCTATCAGCTGGCACCAACTCTTAAAGCAATGTTTAAAGAAGCACTCTCCTTAGGCATTCTTCCTATAACTCTGAGGCAGGCCTCTATATCCTTACTGGCTAAGAAGGATAAAGATCCAGTATTCTGCTCATCTTATCGCCCTATCTCCCTACTTAATGTGGATTTTAAAGTGCTGTCTAAGGTCTTAGCTAAACGCCTGGAGAGTGTGATCCCAGATATTGTCTCACCTGATCAAACAGGATTTATCCAAGGCCGACACTCCCACTCAAATTTACGAAAACTATTCAATGTTGTCCATTCGGCCCCCTTAACGTGCCCAGAGGTAGGAGGCTTAGCTTTACCCAATTTTCTCTTTTACTATTGGGCATGCAATATCCAGAAGCTACTTCACTGGTTTGAAGACAGGCCAATTGTGGGAAAGGCGGACTGGGTACAAATAGAATTTTCCTCCTGCCGGCACCACCTCAGTGGTCTGTGCAGCCCTGCCTCTTCTTAGCAATAACTTGAGTACAAACATAATAGTAAATCACACAATAAGAATATGGGCTCAGTGTAGGAGACATTTTGGGCTGCAAGGAGCCTCCACCCGCTCCCCCATCAAATTTAATCATATGTTTATTCCCTCCTGTACAGATAACGCATTTACTCTATGGTTTGATAAAGGGATCAGCTCAATCCATAATTTATACATAGAAGACACGTTTGCTTCATTCTCCCAATTATCACAAATCTATGATCTACCAAGGAACAATTTTTTCCGCTACTTGCAGATCAGGAGCTTCGTACGAAACACGTTTGACTCATTTCCGAACAAGCCCATGAAATCTCATGTTGACAACCTCCTAGAACTGAACCCGAACAGTAGAGGATTGATATCCCAAACTTACGAGCTCATTAACAATATCAACCCACACTCCTTGGAAAATTTAAGAATGGCCTGGGACTCAGATCTTGGAGTGGTTATAACAAATGACCAATGGGACTCTATTTTAGACTTGATATATACATCATCTCCATCCGCTAAACACAACTTAATACAGCTAAAAGTGGTACACAGGGCTCATTACACTAATGCTAGATTGGCAAAAATTTACCCTAACTCTGATCCGTTATGTCCTCGATGTAAAGGCCAGCCAGCAGACTTGTTACACATTTTCTGGCTATGCCCGAAACTCTCCACCTTTTGGATAAGTATTTTTAAAGCTTATAGTGAGATGTTTGCAGCTCAATTTGACCCGGACCCAATTTGCGCACTCTTTGGCTTAATACCAGAAGACTTCCGTGCCCGTTTACCAAATAAAGCCAATGTGGTCGTAGCCTTCACAACACTCCTTGCTCGACGTTTGATCCTTCTGAGATGGAAGCAACGTGCCCCCCCATCGTTCTCCCACTGGGTCAAAGATGTCATGTATTTCTTGACACTTGAAAAAATTAAATATACTCTCAGAGTGTCCTCCCAAACCTTTCGTAAAGTATGGAGACCTTTTCTAGAATACTACGACTCTTTACAAGAGCCTCTCGTCAAAGACTAATGTGGATCCCCTATCCGCCCCATAGCAACAGTGAGCAGCCCCCCCCCCCTCTTTTATTTTTTTGTTATCTTTAGCTATTGTTTTCTTTAGCTATTAATCATTTTATTTTTTACATGTAACTTCTCGCTATTATTTTTATTTTCCAAATTGCTTTACTTTGCCTGATCGATTAATGCAATTATTTGATATTATGTCTGCATCTCCGTCACCTGAATGTACCTGAATTTACCTGAATGTATAAGTTCCATAGCCTGTAACCCTGCATTGGGTGGGTTGGGTGGGCAGGGTCGGGAATGAGGTTTTAAATCTCAATCTGTAATTGCCCTCAGACATGTGTGAATCCTCTTCCCTGTTGGGATAAAAACTGTGAAAATCAATAAAACATATTTACAAAAAAAAAAAAGAAAAAAAAAGAGACATCTACGCTGAAGATGACCACAGAGAGCAGAAATCCGAGGGAAACATTTGTTGTCTACAGGCAAACTCAAGACAATGTTCCACAAGCCGACACGCGGACATCTAATGTGTCACACAGACGCACAGTGGACCTGCTGACGGACGAGACGCCACTGTTGCTGGACATGTACGTCAGCATGGCCGACACTGAGGCCGGTTCTCTACTCGCTAGTCCCAGGAGGGAGACGTCGGGTAGAGCGGCAGTGATTGAGGAGTCTGCTGATGTCAATACCAAAGCCTCTCCAGCAGGAAGAGTCTTAACACTGACCAACACCATTCAAACCCCCGACAGTGAGAACGGAAGGAGGACCAGGAGACAAAAAGGTGTCGTCAGTTATAAAGAGCCGACCCTCAACACCAAAAATGAGGCGTGGAGACAAATTCACGACGAGTTCTCCCGTGTTCAAGGACGAGAAGAAGAAGAAGCAGAATAATAAGAAGCAGCAGAAGAAGATCAATCCAGAGTTGGAGAGATCCATTCTGGCAGAACTGGAAGTGTGTGGCCTTGAAGACACAAGGTATGTCCAGCTACCCAAAGTCTTCACACACAGCAGTATCCCTGTTCAAAAGATAAACATTCCAGTTCAACAACATCTGCAAAAGTGGCCGTATCTGCATGAAGTAACCTTACCACACATTGACGCTGACGTAGGCCTTCTAATTGGAGCTAATAACCCAAAGGCAATGGAGCCGTGGCACATAATTAATAGTCAGGATGATGGGCCCTACGCTGTGAAGACTGTCCTGGGTGGATGGTGTGTGGACCTGTAAAGAACGAGACCACTGATTCCAAGATGGAATCAGCTCATCACAGCGTCAACCGAATTGCAGTGGTGGAACTGTTGTATTGGTTCAGCAATACAACACAGACTTTCCAGAACGTTGCTATGATGACAAGGAAGAGATGTCGCAAGAGGACAAGCAGTTTATGATGTCAGTGGAAAAGACAACAAAGTTTGTGGATGGACGTTACTGCATAGGACTTCCGTTGAAACATGAAGAAGCTAACATGCCAAGTAACCGCTGTATGGCAATACAGCGAGCTGCTAGCCTAAAGAGAAAACTGAAAAGGAATGATGTCTTTCTTGAAGACTACAAAGACTTCAAGAAAAGCATACTGGATAAAGGCTACACTGTTGAAGTCCTTGAAAAGCAACTTGGCCGTGATGACTACAGGATCTGGTACGTCCCTCACCATGCGGTGTATCACCCAAAGAAAAATAAAATTCACGTTGTCTTTGACTGCACTGCTTCCTTTCAAGACGTGTTGAATGGACAGTTACTGCAGGGACCTGACCTCATCAATACACTCATCGGTGCCTTACTGAGGTTCCGTGAGAATCCCATAGCCATAATGGTGGACATTGAATCGATGTTCTATCAGGTCAGAGTTCCAGAGACAGATGCAGACAATGATATGTGGATAAAAGGACCACAGTTTCTGTTGTGGCCAGAAAGTGAATGTCCACAGAGACCAGATAAGGAGATGCAGGACTTGCAAGAAGATCCAGAGGTCAGGAACATCACTGTATATACGATCCTAGCAGAGGAGAATGCTGACCCTGTGAACAAACTGCTGCAGTATTACTCAAGTTGGGAGAGACTGAAGAGAGCAGTTGCATGGATTTTGAGAGCCAATGAAACTTTGATCCACCTGACGGACAAAACAAAAAAACAGATGGACTCGAGAATACTTACCTCTCCTCCAGGAGCGGCAAAAGTGGTCAAAGATGAAAAGAAACTTCCAGCTTGGAGATGTGCTGCTACTAGTTGATAGTTCATCACCACGAAACACATGGATAATCCAAACCATACCTGACTCCAGTGCAACTGTACGCAGAGTGAAGCTGCAGACCAAAACCAGCAAGCTGGAGAGACCTGTAAATAAACTGTTTACTGCAAGAAGCAATGTGAACATAAGAAGATCAGAAAATGAAGAAAAAGACTGATAAACAAGACTTAGATTTGCAGTATTTATGAATATTTATTTTGTTTGATATTTAATAATAATAATACATTTTATTTATATAGCGCTTTAAAAGGCACTCAAAGACACTTTACATGGTAAAAACAGAAACAATGAAAGCATTTATAATAAAAACAAAATCTACAACATAACAGTAAGAAAGAAAAATAAACACGAAGAGAAAGAAAACATACATGACTGACTTTAGAGGTTAAAAGCAGATTTAAATAGGTGAGTTTTAAGTGCAGTTTTGAAGGTGGCGAGTGACGGAGAACGTCTGAGGTGTTGGGGCAGGGAGTTCCAGAGGGAGGGGGCAGCAACGGAGAAGGCCCTGTCCCCCCAGGTCCGATGCTTGGACAGAGTAGGGGGGGTAAGGAGGTTGGCGTCGGCGGATCTGAGGTTGCGGTTGGGAGTGTGACGGTGCAGGAGGTCTGAAAGGTATGAAGGGGCAAGGTTGTGGAGGGCTTTGTAAGTGATGAGGAGAATCTTGAACTGGATTCTTTGCTGTATGGGGAGCCAGTGGAGGTTTTGAAGGACTGGGGTGATGTGGTCTCTGGTACGGGAGTGGGAGAGCAGACGGGCAGCTGAGTTTTGGATGTATTGTAGTTTATTGATGATTTTGGTGGGTGAGCCGTACAGGATGCTGTTGCAGTAATCCAGTCGAGAGGTGATGAAGGCGTGGATGAGTGTTTCAGCGGCTGCGGAGGAGAGGGATGGGCGGAGATGGGCGATGTTTTTGAGATGGAAGAAGGCGGTTTTTCTGATGTGATTGATGTGTCGTTCATAGGAGAGAGTTTGATCGAAAATGATCCCAAGGTTACGGACATGTGTGGAAGCAGGTACAGTGGTGCCATCAATGCAGAGGGAGAAGTTGTGGAGGGATTTGTTTAATGATTTGGGGCCGATGATGAGGACTTCAGATTTGTCGGTGTTGAGTTTGAGGACGTTTGCTTGCATCCAGGTTTTTATATCTGTTAGGCAGTTGGTGATGGTGGAGTGGATGGTGGGGGTGATGGACTTGGTGGAGATGTAGAGCTGGGTGTCGTCAGCGTAGCAGTGGAACTGGAGACCATGGTGGCGTATGATGTCGCCAAGGGGGAGCAGGTAGAGGATGAAGAGGAGGGGACCGAGTACTGAACCTTGGGGGACACCTTGAGAGACTGGGGCTGTGTCAGACTTGAATTTGTTGATGCTGATGAACTGTTCACGGTCAGAGAGGTATTATTTAAACCAGGAGAGGGCTGTGCCAGTGATGTGGAGGGAGGACTAGGGTTGGGTACCGAAAATCGGCAACGCAGATTTCGGTGCTTCCTTTCGGTGCCTGAGCCGATTGAAATACTTTTTTTACACTACTCTGACGACGCCGTCCTGGCAGCCTCGGTCCTCCGCTCCTCACTCATAGTATTATTACAACCGGCTGAGCTGTGCACGCTTAGAAACAAACCCCTCCATCATTCTGGCGAAGCTTCGGCCATGATTTATTAAAAAAACCGAGAACGAGATCTGTCATACGGCAGGCAGGCTACTGACTTCCTCCATCGACATCCGGGTACTTAGCGCTGCCGCTCATAAGCACAACAACGCAGGCACGCAAAACTTTCTTCTTCTTTGAGGTGTAGTGGCGGTTGGCAAACGATGAATTGGCGCATTAGCACCACCAACTGGTAAAATAAAATAAAATAAGTCAGGAGAGGTGTCGTATTTTGCCAAATATGCTCATATTTCTGCAAAATAATTGAAAAGTTTGAAGCTGTACTGTGTGTACAGAGTGTGTGTGTGTTTTGTATTTATTTATATTTATTTAAGTATACTGTAAACTGTTAATAGTTAATATATTGTTCATAGTTTGAAGTTAAAAAGTTTGAAGCTGTAGTTTGAAGCCAAGTGTTTTGTATTTATTTATAGTTATAGTATACTTTAAACAGTTAATATATTGTTCAATTTGAAGAAAAAAGTATCGGTTCAGGCACCGGTATCGTTTTAAAAGTATCGTTTTAGCACCGGTATCGGAAAAAACCCAAACGATACCCATCCCTAGGGAGGACTCGAGACGGCAAAGGAAGATGGAGTGGTTGATGGTGTCGAAGGCTGCGCTGAGGTCGAGCAGTACCAGGATGTTGAGGGAGTGTTCATCAGAGGAGAGGAGGTCATTGGTGACTTTGATGAGGGCAGTTTCTGTGCTGTGATGAGATCTGAATCCGGATTGAAATGGTTCATACAGTTGGTTTGAGTCCAGGTGGGTTTTCAGTTGATGGGCAACAGTGCGTTCCAGTATTTTAGACAGAAAAGGGAGATTGGAGATGGGTCTGTAATTGTTGTGAACGTCGGGGTCAAGGCCAAGTTTTTTGAGGATGGGTGTGACTGAGGCGAGTTTGAGGGCGGGAGGGACGGAGCCAGTAGACAGGGAGGAGTTGATGACAGAGAGGATGTGCGGGCGGAGGGCCGGGAGACAGGCCATAACTAAAGTGGAAGGGATAGGGTCGAGGTCACAGGTCAGAGTCTTCATGCCAGAGAGTGATTTATTGAGATCCGAGGGGGAGATGAGAGAGAATCGGGAGAGTGACCGGTCAGTTAGTGGAGGATTTGCAGATACAGGGTTGGATGAAGCGGGGCTGGAAGTGGCCAGTTGGTTGTAGATGGTGTCGATTTTAGCTTTGTAGAACGTCAGGAAGGAGTTGCATTTTTCTGCTGTGGAGGAGTGGGAGAGGTTGTCCATAGGTTTGAGGAGTTTGTTTATTGTGGAGAAGAGGACCTTTGGGTTGTCGGAACCAGAGTGGATGATGCCAGAGTAGTAGGTGGAGTGAGCAGAGTTTAGAGCCAGTTTGTATTGCTGTAGGTGTTCCTTTATGTGTTCGTAAGCCAGGGTGTGAACTGTGAGGCCGGTTTTTTTGGAGAGTCGCTGTAGTCTGCGTTTCCCAGATTTCATGAGGCGGAGTTCAGGGGTGAACCAGGGAGCAGTGTGGGTGAAAGAGACAGTTCTGGTTTTGAGAGGGGCAAGCTGATCAAGGCAGGAGGATAGTGTGTTATTATAGAGGTTGACCAGGTCTGAGGGGAAGGGGCTAAGGGAGGGGGTGATTGTGGAGAATTTTTCAGTGAGACAGGCTGACAGGGATGAGGGGCAGACAGACTTGATATTACGGAGAGTGATGGTGCGCGTGAGTTTGGGTTCTGGGATGGGGATGTCGATCTCCATGATGATGGCTAGATGATCGGAGATGGTGAGGTCATACCCGGAGAGGTGGTTGATGGTGATTTCAGTGGAGCAGACCAGGTCCAGGATGTGACCGCGGTTGTGGGTGAGGAAGTCGATGTGTTGAGTGAAGTTGAAGCATTTAAGCAGGTCCAGAAATTCTGTGGCAGTTTTGCAGTCTGAAGAGTCGATGTGGATGTTGAAATCACCAAGCAAGACGGAGAGACGTGAGACGGAGCAGAGCTGGGTGAGGAATTCAGATAGGTCGGAGAGGAAGACAGGGTTGGGTTTGGGGGGGCGGTAGATAATTGCAATGACCAGGGGTTTAGGACCAGAGAGTTTGAATGAGAGCTGTTCAAATGAGGGTGGACTTTCGATGTTAGTCAGGCTGGTTTTGATGTGTTGGCGGTGAAGAGCGGCAATTCCTCCACCGCGGCCATCAGGGCGTGGCTTATCCAGGTAATGATATCCAGTTGGGGTGGTTTGATTGAGTGCGTAGTAATCCAGGTGTTTTTGCCAAGTTTCAGTGAGACAGAGGATATCAAGTTTGTTGTCAGTGATGAATTCATTGATGATTGGGCTTTTGTTGCTTAGTGACCGGGTGTTGAACAGAGCAAGCTTCATGGATTGTTTTGTGATTGGTTGTGAGGTTTTGGGGAGGGTTCTGAGGTTGGCTACATTCACGTGCTGTTTGGTATGATGACGTAATGAGGGAGTGGTGGTACGCCGGTGCTGAGTCCACAGAGACCGGATGGAATTGACAGAGGTGGGGTTGTAGATGATGAACTTGTGCTGGGAGCCGATATGAACATCACTGGGAGGGATGTAGCTGAGGTTGTTTTTGTTTATGGCTTTGTGAATGCAGTGTGAACGGGGCAGCCTCTCTGTCACAATAGTCTGAATGGGGAGAGCTGCAGCTGAAGGGGTTGATGACATGGAAGGCCAGGAGGGAGAGCAGTCACGGGAAACTGTGTTCTGAGGTGGCAGCGTAGAAGAAGGGGCGTGTATGTGGAAAGTAAATAGTCAGTCATGTGGACAAGAGTGTACAGCATGCTGTAAATTAGCCGCTAGCAGGCGGCTACCCAGCTTATTAAAATGAATACCATCATTCGTAAAAGAGGAAGAGCGATCCCAAAACAGATTAAAATTGTCAATGAAGCTCACGTTGTTGGTCCTGCAGGTGGCGTGGAGCCAAGTGTGGAGGCTGAGGACTTTGATGGCTCTTTGAACTTAAGTTGTTTGGTAATGGCTTAATCTTCATGCTTAAACATTAAGGGCCGGATATGTAAGAGCCAGAAGTGTATATATTAGTTCATTGGAATTTCGGGCTTATTAACCATTTAATTTCTGAAGTATGCTCATTGTGCAGGAACTAAAGATATGTAAAACATACTGAAAAGCATTTATGTTAATGATTGACACTCCCTTTTTTCTTGATTTAATGACGTCATGACGGCAGCCGGTGCAAAACCCGAAGAGCTGCATTAGACACGGGAGCATATAGTTTTTCTACCGTGTGACAGTATATATTATTTGTGTATTTAGTTAACGCTTCATCGCGTAAAATAAAGACAAAATGAAAAGAATCAAGCGATCTCCTGTCATTCGCGTAAGGAAATGAAGTCAATGTGTCTGCAGCTCATTTGCGGCTTAATAACGAACAACACCGACGGAACGCCGCTACAATACATTTATACAAAATCATTTTTAAAGAACAAACCAGTGGTTTAACCTTTTTGGTTTGTGGACTCTGACTTCTCTTTGATGACTCCATTAAAAAGAGATATCTCCCCTCTAAACACTATACGTGTTCGAGGCGCGAAGAGTTATTTTACAAAAACAAGCAAAGATTAGAGAAAAGTAAAAGAAAATATGATATGCGATGTATGATATGCATTCGACAGAAATAAGTAGCAAGAACTCGCAAATATCCTTTGTGTGTTTCTTTTGAATATGAATAATCCTAGCTTTGTGCTTGGAATGTAAAGTTCCTTACTCACCCAGAAAAGAGAAAGATGATCCTCACCTCTCTTGAGAAAGAAGGAGAGGAAATCTCACTCCTGCAGGATCAAGAACATCTTAAACATAAGTGGGACTAGGTCGGTCTGACTTTCTTTTTCATCCTGCACCTCAAACAGTAGAACAGTAAGTATGAAGGCAATGATGGCAGCAAGAGCATCTCTAAATTCTCTTCTTTTTATTCTGAGTATTCAATCTGCTAAGGCTATGTGCGGTAATAAACCAAGTCAATATTGTGCCATACAAGTAAACAGGAAGACTGATTCTCAGACAATCTCATCGATTATAGACTAACTGTGTTTTTTAAGCTATAAACTAAATGACGTGACAGTAATTTAGTGAGAAGCCTCTGTGCTGGTGTTGATATTCATATTTCTTATGAAATGTTTGAAAATGGCTCAAAAAAAACCAAACATGTGCAGTGGCTCAGACCTGGGGGTGAAGTTACGCCTTAAAGACACAAACGGACATAGTCAATGTAATACAAACGAGTGAAGAGCACACAGGAGTACACGATTTGATTGATGTCTAAACTGACTAATTCAACACAGGCACAAAAAGTGGCGCTAAATGAACAAATTATGGTTACCATAATGGATTTAGGCCGTCTTCATGTTGTATTTTTCGCAATCAATGAACGGAGGGTACCATATTTGGAATGCAGAGGAGTGACGTAGAAACGCCAGTCAAGGCTCTGGTATCGGCAGCGACCTGTCAATCACAGTAAGCCCGCCCTAAAGCATCCCTGCTTTATGGTCTGTTTGACTCTAAATGGAGCATAATGTACTAAATGAACATCATGCTGTATTGAAGAAGACTTGAAACTAGAGATTGAGACCATAAACTCATGTTTACAATGTTTACTGAGGTAATAAATCAAGAGAGAAGTAGAGTCATTTTCTCATAGACTTCTATACAACCAGAGGAGTCGCCCCCTGATGGACAGTAGAGAGAATGCAGCTTTAAGACACTTCTGTATTGGTTTCACTCGGCACAACCAGAGGTTGCCTCTTAGCTTTAACTTAGGAATGGCTACTGCACCCAGCAAGGCCTCTTTACGGTCCAGCGTGGATGTGAAGTGAGTCTTGACAGACTGCAAGATATATTACTTGGACTATATAATAAAACTTCATAAGGGCCTGACTTTCTCAACCCTTATCACTATGAAGCTGCAAGCATTCCTAAAATAGACCATGTCACACCTTAAGAAGTGCGATGTTCAGAACCATGGACAGCGCTGTTTCATCTTGTTTCCGCCTTGCTTATTTTTTGTGGTTGTGTATTGAACTGTCGGCCCTAATTACATTTTTTTCCATTGTGGCAATCCACAGAATGGAAACGACGAAGTGAAGTGAAGTTTTGGTCAACGAGAAAGAGGGAGGGAGTGGATGAAATGGAACTGCATGGCAAGGACACTCAGGTGTCACTAATATCCGCCCCTATTTCATATCATGAGCATGACACATGGAACAGATACGGTAGGGAATTTTTTTGCATCTAGTCAAAACGCCACTATATTGTTGAAACAAGCATAGCAGCACAATAACCTAGGCCAGACCTGGGCATTGTACGGCCCGCGGGCCACATCCGGCCTGCGAGCTGTTGCCGTCCGGCCCGCGGGTGGTCATTGGGAAATTAGGAATAAAACGTAAATAAGTGTACATCATGCACAGAATAGAGCTGCATTGCTTTTATTTTGAAGGCGACTTTTGTTGTTTTTTTTCTTCTCAATTTATGTAATTTATGTATGTCTCAATGGACGTATGTGAGCAGCAGCGTCACTGCAATGTGTTGGCTAACTGAGTTTACGGGAGATGTGAGTTAGCTGTTTGCCCTCAAAAATGTCAGCCTGTGTTAAAAAAAGAGACTGACAGAGTGTAGAATTTTTAACAAAACATGGACTTTAAAGTGTTGTTTCACTGAAGTCAAAGGTAAAGCCGTGTGCTTAGTTTGTGGAGAACAAGTCGCAGTGTTGAAGGATTACAATTTGAATCATCATTATGAGAGGAAACATGCGGAGAAATACGAAAACTTGACGGATGCAGAGCGGGTACGGACGTCTGAGGCTTTGCTAGCTAAGTTGCTAAAGCAACAAGGCCTTTTTACCAAGCTTCACACATCCAGGGATGCAGCCGCCAAGACCAGCTTTGTGATATCCCACAAAATTGCAAAAACCAGTGAACCATTCTCTGATGGGGAGTTTATCAGAGAGTGTTTGGTGGACTCTGCTGCACTACTAGGCCCCCAGAAAAAAGAGGCATTGGAGAATGTGCCGCTCTCCAGGCGCACCGTAACGAGGAGGATCGAGGACATCGAGGGACATCTGGAGATTCAGCTGCAAAAAAAAGCAGACCATTTCCAACTCTTCTCCTTGGCTCTGGACGAGAGCTGCGATGTCCGCGACACAGCCAGTTACTCATCTTTATACGTGGGATAACGAAAGACTTCGTGATTACAGAGCAGCTGGCAGCAATGCAGTCACTGAAAGGGACGACGGCGGGGAGTGATTTGTTCACGGAGGTAAATGCATCCACAAGCTGGGACTGAAATGGGACAAACTGGCATATTGTCACAACCGATGGTTGTCCAAAAAATCTGACGGGGAAAAATGTCGGACTTTTAAAGCGGATGCAAGATAAAGTGACTGAAATCAACCCAGAGCTGAACTTGGTATGTTTGCATTGTATTATACATCAGAATGTGTCAATGCTAAAACTTAACCATGTTACTGATGTTGTAACTAAAATAGTTAACGTCATCAGGGCAAGATCATTGAATCACAGACAGTGTGTTGCACTCCTGGAGGAGCATGAGACTGAACACAGTGACAGAGGCTTCCACACAGCTGTCAGTGGCTCAGCCTGGGCAAAGTGCTTAAGAGAGTTAAGAGTTCGGGACCTGAGAGCAGAGATTCAGGAGTTTTGTGAGAAGAAAGGCAAGAACATCCCAGAGCTCTCTGATGTAAACTGGATGACAGATTGTGCATTTGCTGTTGATGTGACTGCACTAATGAATGATCTGAATACCAAACTGCAAGGCAAGGGCCTCTTTGCACATGACATGCAGCCTGGTGAAGGCTTTCATGACAAAGTTGCAGTTTCTTTCAAGCCAGATGCAGGTAACACTCTAACCCACCTGCACACCCTGAAAGAAGCCACACCATCAGTTGAACATCTCCACAGGTATCATCCATGTTAGGGGCACTGCATGGTGAGTTTACAAGGCCATTTCAAGACTTCAAAACAGTTGAGAGTGAAATGCACATGATTTCTTCTCCCTTCACGTGCAGTGTGGATGATGCTCCCAGTGATGTTCAGCTCCAACTCATTGACCTGCAGTCTGATGCAGTACTGCAGAGCACTTTAAATCAGTAGCACTGCTGGATCTGTATTCTTCTCTCAAAGAGGAGAACTTTCCACACATGAGGAGGCATGCTCAGAAGATGTTGGTTCTCTTTGGATCGACCTACATCTGTGAACAAACATTCTCCGTGATGAAGTTGAACAAATCCAGATCCAGATCCTCTCTCACTGATGATCACCTGTCAGCTGTCCTTCACATCTCACCTCACACATTCAGCCTGACTTCAGTGCACTCGTTCAAGCCCAACAAAGACTAGATTTCTCGCACTGAACTGAAAAACAGAAAGAGGTCATTTGTATAGTAATAGTTATAGTAATAAAAGTACTAATTTTGCAAAAACATGATCCCCGTCAGTGTTCTACTATTATATATGGATATTACAAATGTATATGTTGTTTGGATTATTCCTGCTGCAGATGTTTAAGGTGGAGCTCATTTTAACTCTTTTATACTCTGTTGTTCAGTTTGGGTAGTTAAGGTTTGACAAATGATAATGTGCAAAGTAACTAGTAACTAAAGCTGGCAGACAAATGTAGTGGAGTAAAAAGTACAAT